CCAATAAACTGTAGATAATGCAAATTTATTCAACTAAAAAGAGGAAAATGTTGGGCTGATGTATTTTGGAAAACCATCATTTGTCAGGACAAATCATCAGATTCCTAGCAAAAATTTATCTGAGCTCCAGTTACCAGCTTTAAATGTTTAGCAATAGAAATCTGCTGAACTTTTGTCTTTCCAGGCATAGATTGAAACGTGGCTTTGTAATGAAAATAAAGTAGACAGGAGATGGTTGAACCGTGGCCTTCCAGCTCTCAAGAGAATGTCTGGACGACTTCTAAGACATCAGCTCTCCTTTAGTAATGCATTTGCAAGTGTTAGCAAATATTTCCTGAGCCAATGTGAGAAAAATCACTTTCTTACCTAACAGAGCAGGCCTGGGAACCAGTGCCTGCTCCAGCACAAATGCCTATTACCCAAATAAACAGTCTTGGCATGCATGACCAGGGACATCGATCATCAGGGCATATCCCAACCCAGACAGCACCTACCTACAGTAGCCATGAAAAGGGTTTGAACTATTTCAGGGCAGGAAGGAAACAAAATGGAACCTGCACCTCTCATAGGTGTAAGAGGGTGTCTCAGCTCCTAAATTTTGGGGTACAAGGCTTTCTTGAAAATTTTAGTCAAATTTCATCCAAAGAGCTTTCAGGTGATAACAAACCTGTATGTGGTTAAAGCACTGACAACAGAAATTGACCGGTTCTCAAATAAATTTTGTTTGCTTTCAACTACTGTATCTTACAATACACTTCAACTTTAAGGGCACTGGAAGATTGATGATTTCCAGATCTGTCTGTCTTTGGCTTTTTCTCAGAGCATTGCTAGACTGGGACTGAGTACACATCTCCTTCATTACTTCTCATTCCTCCCATGTAAATTTCTGATATTTATTCTATTTATTATAAGACTTGAAAACATGTTTATTATGAAATTAGGAGAAATGCCTGAATTCTAAAACTTATGTATTACAAAATACAAGCGAAAACAAAGCAAAAACATCAGAGAATGTTTTCAGAACAGATGTAACATCAGCCACCTGAATCTGTGCAAATTTCTGTATAACAATGAACAAAGGCACCTCAAAGCAGGGGAAACAAAAATATATTAAAAATCTGATGACTAGCTTTGTAAAGCTAAATTAAAGTTAAATATTAACAGTAACAGGGTCTACCAGATCTTTATAGGAAAAGAGGAAAAACGTTCTGGAACAGCCCTATTTGATTTGAAGATCTCTGGGGCAGGTCCTGCAGGGTTTGGTCACTGAGGCAGAGAAAGTAGCCCATTATAAAGGCCAGAAGAAAGCTTGGCAGCTGGGTACTGCTCAGTCCAAGGGCCCAGGCAGGGAGCTGTGGGAAGGACTGAGCTCCCCTCTCTTCAATGACAAGGCACAAAGCTGGTCTGGGGACAAGTGTAACTGTCTGCATCGAGTCACTGGGGTTGAGATGGCAGGGAAGCCCCTGTGAGCGGCTGTATTTGAGTTACTGAGACTCTCACAGGAAACTGTTCTGTCAGAGCAGAACAAGGCTACGTGGAAACAGCTAAGATAAATCCATCCCCTGAAAACAGGAGAAAGCAAAGGTGCAAGTGAAATGGAGATACATCTAAGGTGCCAGGGGCAGGTAGGAGCTTAAGCTTTGGGGATGCATATTTAGACAAAATACAATTTTATTTGTAAGGTGTGTGAGTGAGAACCCACCTGCTTATTATCTCTTCACAGCACCAGAGAGCAATTACAACTTCTTTTATGGGCTTTAAAACTACCAAATGCACACGTGACCTGAGCAGACAGTCAGCAAGAGTGTGTTAAATTACAATTCTGAATTGTCTGAGACCAAAACGGGTACCCAAGGTTAACTTCTACATCTGGACTAAATTGGATTAAGAATGTAACCTCTAAGTTGTCCAAAGTGAGTGGTCCAAATAAGGACCTTGGAGACTTCTTCTGGTGTATGTTTTGGAAAACAACTGAGTGGATGTAGCTTGAATAGACAATATAGGAACAAACAAATTACATCTGTAAATCTTCAGGGACAAGTACTGGAGGAGAAGAAGAAATTCATATGCAAATTCTCTCAGGAAAACATATTTATTTCATGAAACATAGAAAAGGGCAGTTATTTAAAATGACTGATATGCCTGGAAGCTTTGGTTTCAGCCTCCTAATATATCAAGCAGCTAAGCAAAGCATGGTAGAACTCAATACATTGTTTTGCTTGAGTTCACCATCTTTTGCACTTTGTTTTCCTGATTCCTATTCATTAAAAAAAAACAACAACAAAAAACAAACCAAATCCACACTAAGATCCAAAGCTCTTAATTCTCTCAAGTATATTTGTAACAATTGGGTGCTTTTAGCAGCCATCAGGCAGCACTGTGAATTTCAAACAGGAAAATCCATATCTGATGGATTTCATCTACCCAGCTAAGAAATGTTAAGCATTCACTGCCCATGAAGACATGATTTTAATCTCACTGAAATACATGAGGCATGCAGCAAGGAGAACATACCATAGTTTCAGCATTTATTGCTGAGGACAGACTTGCACTGACCTCTGTGGAAAGACCGTGTGCAGTCAGTGCAGCAGTGGGAATGAGCATCCACATCTCATTTTCCTGAGCATTGCGCTGTATTATAGGGGCATCTGAAACCTAAGATGATTAGGGTTCATGTTGTAGTTAAAAAAAAAAATCTACACAACTACTTAATTGTGGAATTTAAATTAAATGTGGGCTTGGATCTCTGCTCATGAACACAGTATTTTAGTATAGCTACCAAATACATTTTGTGGACACCTTTAAAAATTCTTTTTTAGGTTTGATTACAATTCTATATGCTATTAGATGCGCATGTGTGCACACATATCTGTATAATGTGCACAGTTATTTATCTAATTAACATTCACAGTTCTGAGTCATCAATTTAACTTTTTCTAAGGACTAAAAGAACAGGAACCCATACAGACTTTCCAACCAATCAAAAAAAGACAAATCACTCTTCAGGCAAATCAGGAGTCTTGACTTAAGCTTACCTGTACTTGGATCTTTGCCAATTTTTTAAAATCACCTTTCAAGAAATACCCAAAGAGTCTACAGAAACATCTCTGAGCTTTAGATACAGTATCTGACAGCAGACAGTAATGTTATTTCATTACAAAACTAACTCTGAACGTTTTGGTGGGGAAAAACTAGAAAGTTTAGCTCTTTGAAAGTGGTATTCAAATTCAAAGCTTGTGGGTGGAGTTGGGGTGTGAAGGTGCATAAATAGGCAGTAGGAACAGCAGCATTCACACTGGAACCAGGAACACCTTCACATCCTGGCAGGAGCCTGGCGGAGCAAACAAGGTAAGGAAGGCACTGCTCGGTCCCTGCCCCAGCAGCACCCGGGGAGCTGGGAGCCCCAGCCAGCCGGGATGGGGAACCCGAGCAGCCTAAAGGAAAGGCTGCAGCAAAGCAGGCACAGTCCAGCACAGCTTGTTGGGAAGGGAAATCTCTAGGGAAAGATTGGCTTTGCAGATTAAAAAAAAAAAAAAAAAAAAAAAAAAAAAAAAAGGGGGGGAAGAGGGGCTCTTTTGGAAAGCTTTAAAAAAGTGCACATAGTCTTCCAGAGGCAAAGTTTTTAAGGAGCAAGTTTAATGTTCCTCTGTCTTTGCTTTCTGCATGCTGCCTCCACAACAGCCTAGTGTGCCTGATCTTCAGTTTCCTGGTTGTCCCTTACTTTTTTATTTTATTATTTTTCTTTTTAAAGGGGCATTGCTTCCGCCATACAATTCTCTGGCCAAAACAATTCTTGAGGCAACCCTGACAATCCAGAGCTTAACTGAACTTCATGCAATTTTCCTCTCTGCCAAGGAGGCTTTTCTTGGGGCAGAAATGCAGTCTGCCACAAAAGTTGTATTTCATACCCATGAAAAAGGGACTCTTTGGATGTTTGAGCTCTATTGGATATCCCAGTAGCACAGAGCATTGTATCACTCATGGAAATGCAGCTAATGTCTCCTCCTGCAGTTCCTACCTGGAAAAACACTTCTGTTAGTTTTCATTGTCTGAACTTTACAATCAATCAGCCTGTTGGGGTGGGGGGTTTTATTTAGGCTTGGTTTTCCTTTTTTTTTTTTTTTTTTTTTTTTCTTTTGTCTAATGAATCTTTTCAATGTTCTGTACCACTTTTAGAACATCTTAAACTTTCTTTTTGTACCCATTATATTGGTTCTAGTTTCTAGGAGGAAATGTAATGAGAAAACAGAGGGTCATGTTGCTGAAATGATTTTCCCCTTCAGCTGAAATGCTGAAATGAGGAGTTTTCTTTTAGACCTGTCTCATCTCCAGGTCCCAGCCTGACTCAGGAAAAGCTCTCTGCTTTGTGCTGCTTCCACTCCCAAACTCCACTTACTGGGCAGCACATCAACTCCTCCCAACTCCTTTTGTTATATGTTCTGCTGGGTTTAAGGATTAGGTGATATCTTTAAGGGAAAAAACTAGGATTGGAAGCTTCAACAACGCCATTAACCTATGTCTATGCTAATGTTCACTGTAAAGCCTAGCTTAAACATTCTGACTTCTCATTTGAGTGACTCCCACAGCAAAATGGGGGAAGAGCTGAGACAAATTAACTTTTCAGCACCTGAAATTAACTTTCAGCTGGGTTACTCTAGCACTGGGAGATCCAGGTAGAACTGTGAACTTATTAGGACTTTTGGAATTGCTGTAACTCTGTTATTTTACTGAGCATATTCAATATGTGTAACAAGAAGAGAGAGAAATTAACACAGACATGCACATCCTCAAAGGGCCATGGCCCAACCCTTCTGGGCGTTTGCTGAGCAAACCTCACCCCATGCCCTGAGGCCCCTGCCTGGAGCTGCTCCTTCCAGCCCAGCCTCACCCCGTTTGTTCATATTTGTGACCTGAGTCTTTCGTGCCTTTAGCCACCCTGCCTGTCCCCACCTGCGGCACCGCAGCCACCCGAGCTTCTCTCTCCTGTTCCAGGGGCAGCCATGGAGAGGAGTTACGTGTCCGTGCTCTTGCTGCTCATCGTCATCTCCTGTGCTCTGGCAAAGGATGTGGGCAAGAAGGATTCAAAGGACACTACCACTAAGCCAAAACTGCCCCAGACACTCTCCAGAGGTAAAAAACACACAACTGAACAAAAACCTCCGCCAAATTTTTAAACAAGTGCAATCTTGTGAACATTTCGTCTACTGTGCTGTTCTAAAAAATTTTCTTGCAACTCGTTCTGCAAAACCTTTTCTAGTATTTCCTAGCTCCCTCTCCTCCTCCACTCCTGATGTGAGGCCCTCTGGCAGGGGTTTGTTCCGAGGGCTTCACATCAGGAGGTGCAGCACCTGCACCCGGGGTCCCCAGCCCCTTGTGAGGCGCTGTCTGAGGGTGTGTCTGTGTGTCTGTCCCTCCCGCAGGCTGGGGAGACCAGCTCATCTGGACGCAGACCTACGAGGAGGCGCTTTTCCGCTCCAAGCACAGGTACTCACCCTGCCGCACCCGCCCTGAGCCCCCCGTGCCTCCCCGCTCCTAACGAGGGCTCTTCTTTTCCAGCCAGAAGCCCCTGATGATCATCCACCACTTGGAGGACTGCCCACACAGCCAAGGTAATCTTTTTGCACTCAGGAGGGGGAAAAAAAAAGTTGTTCTAATTTTCTGAAAAAACTCTGCTTGACAAAAAATAATCAGCCTCCATTCTGCTTAAACCATAGTGAAGTACTATCTTGCATAAGCATGGAAAGAGTTTTTGAAGTTGCTGTACCACAAAGGTGTTTTCCAATGTGTAGAAATAAAATAAAAATGGTAATTCATTACTGCATGATACCAAATGGATATGGAAATGAGCACAGGTCAGTAGGGTTTGACCTCTGACAAATCTGAATTTGGTTCACAGCACAATCAGCCAAAATCAATAGCATGACCAGTAGCAAGAAATAACAATTTGTCAGAAAGACCATATTCCAACCATATCATCAGTGATTGAGACTGAATCCAGACAGGGACTAAATCAATCCAGGCTGAAACTGAGCTCTTCCAGGGTTTCTGGTACCTGGGACTGCTCTTTTCCCAGTGTCTTTGAATTTATCTGAGGGTCTTCCACTCCTGCAAGTCAATCCACATGGCAAGATCTTTGCATCCATCCATAACTCCAGTAACTGCACAAGGGTCTTTGTACAAGCATTTGCATCCTTCCAAAGATTTGACTCTGAAGCCCTACATGCTGTATTATCAAGTGCCTTAAGATCTGGGGCCAGAAGTCACAATAGTAGAACAGGAGGTTTGAAGGGTCAAATGCTCAAATTCAAACCTAGAGCTGAGAATCTGTACTCTCCAAAGAAAGGTGGGACATTTTGCACTATCGTAATTACTCTTTAATGCAGAATAAAAATTAATGAAATGCGTTCCAATGTAATGAAACACGAAAATCTTTGTTTGATGCAGTTGTAAACTGGAAATTCTCATTTTGTTTCATCAGTTTGTTTGAATTTCTTTTTGGAGGACAATATATTTCAAGGTCATCTTTTTCATTTTCTTTCCCATTTTTTTCTACTTTAGCCCTCAAGAAGGTCTTTGCTGAACACAAAGACATACAGAAACTGGCTGAAAAATTCATTCTCCTTAACCTTGTGGTAAGTTTCCCAATTACACTTAATTAAGTGAAAGCTACAAAGTTCTGATTTTAATCATGGCTTCTCTAACTTGAGTTTAATAGCTAGGGTTGGCTAGGAAAATGGCCACTGCTGAAGCATAATATATTTCATAAGTAAGTCTTTTTCATTTGTAGCTATCATAAACTCAGAATGTGGGGGAATGTGAAGTTTAATAATAACATAAACTCTTACCACTTTGCAATCCCAGCTGTTAAAAAACTGCCTCCCAGACAGTGAATCTTAGACTGCAAAATGTATTATTTGAGCTGTATTTCATAGTACAAAGTGTGGTGAAGGAAAAAAATATTCGTGTAACGTGCCCTCCTTGACTAGGAACCTCCTCTGTTTTCTTTAAGTATGAAACCACAGACAAGAACCTTGCCCCTGATGGCCAGTACGTCCCTCGGGTTTTGTTCATAGGTGAGTACCTCAAGCACCAAAGCTGATCTCAGAACAGAGCCCCTGCTGCACCATGCATCTCAAATCCTCGGGCTGATTAACAGGAATGTATTTCATGACAAATACAAAGGTTCAAGCTGGTTTTGTGGATCAAATATTGACTCAATATCACCCATCTTCACAAGTCCAGCATTCCTCCCTCAATGGCTGATGCCACAGTCACTGGAATGGGTAGCTCATCCTGTTCCTAATAAACCTGCAAACACAACACTTAAAACTGAAATGTCAGTGACCCCTTTTAGAACAATTTCTTAGTCAGCAGAAGCAGACATGTCTCACAGGAACATTCAGGAAGCAAGCAGGGGTGCAGAAAGGTTTGTTTCCTTTTATTTCCTTCTGCTTGAAGGTTAACCTCTACAAATTCTCTCACCCTTTTTCCCCCAGATCCTTCCCTGACTGTGAGAGCAGATATTACTGGGAGATACTCAAACCGTCTCTATGCATATGAGCCCTCTGACATTTCGCTGTGTAAGTAGAGTGTTCTGACACATTCTGGAAATATTCTGAAAGTGGCATTTTTCATGTGTCAAGGAATAACACCAGGCATTACAGATTCTTGCAGTCAGTACTTGCTGAAAGACATTTAACCAGGATTAAAATTAAACAGGATGCTAGACTTAAACTCGGTGAGGTGAAGAAAATGATGGCAGAGCCCTGGAGCTTTACGCATCCATCTGTTTTAAAAGCAAGCATAAGTCAGTAGGAACTTGCATAATTCAGCAGTGCTCACTGCAAGCAATGGTGAGAACCCACACACCAGTCCCAACAGGCCAGGTCAGGAAACCTTCTGGGAGCAGGGAAAGATGTTTGTTACAGCCATCCCTCACTGCTGCACAGCTCCAGCCTCTGCCCGTGTGTTGGCATTAATGAATGTTCTCACCAGTAAAAATTAAACCCATGATGTTCACAAATTGCCTGGAAGAGTTAAGTGCATATGAATCCCTACAGCAATAGGCATGTGATTAAAAGCTTTAATAATAATGACATTTTCTCTGCAGCATTTTTGGTTGCTGGCAGAGGAAGTTGCAGCAAAAATAACATGCATGAATATTTTATTTCTAGTGTATTCAAATATGCAGAAAGCGCTGAAGCTCCTGAAGACTGAACTGTAAGGGGAAGAAGAAAACCCTTAAATATTATGAAGTCTTATCTTCCATGTCTTCTCCACACCTTGATACTGGTGAAGAGACTATTTAGAGTGATATTTAGTGATGTGTAGTGATGGTTTCTATACATAAACACTACAGTTTTACATTAGCACTTTTGTACTGGGAAGCGTTTTTAAAAGCTGGAGGCTTTTATTTTAAGGCGTACAGAAGAATACTGTATGATTCAACTGTAAAAATGATTTTTTAAAAAATAAATTCATTTCAAGTGTTTACATACAAAACATTGCTGTGTTTTCATTTTTTTCCTCTTATCTCCATCTACCATTATTAGAAATGGTAAAATCACCATTTTGCTTTGGACCACAGCTTGCATTTCACATTCAAGGAATTTGGCAAGAAAAGGGCTGCTGTGGATCAATCCCAGCCAGCAGCCCAGCCCCACACAGCCACTTGCCCTCTCACTCCACTCCAGTGAGATGATTCTCCAGGGAGAATCAGAAGATTAAAGTGAGAAAACTCATGGCTTCAGATAAAGACAGTTTAATAGGTAAAGCAAAAGCTGTGTGCACAAGCAGAGCAAAACACAGGATTAATTCACTGCTTCACACAGGCAGGCAGGTGTTCAGCCACCTCCAGGAGAGCAGAGCTCCACCAAATGTAATGGTGACTTGGGAAGACAAACACCCTCACTCCAAATATGCCCCCCTTCCTGCTTCTTCTCCCAGTTTGTATGGTGAGCGTGGTGCATCCCCTTATTCAGCTGGAATCAACTCTGCCCCACTTCTCCTGCAGCCCAGGTCTACTTGCTTGGCAGGGCAGTGTGAGGGAGCAGCAAAGACCTCGACTCTGTGTCAGCAACCACAGAAAACAACCTGTGTTATCAGCACTGTTGTGGCTGCAAATCCAGAGCTGCAAATCCAAATTCACAACACAAGCTGCTGTGAAGAGAATCAACTTTACTCAGCCAAACCCAGCAGAGGAAAGCAGCTTTTTATCTCCAGTTCCAGAAGCTAGCTAAGCTCTCTATTACTCAGCCTACTTTGTCTCAAATTATTTTCTAGTAGCACCAGCCTATGTGGAGCTTTCAATATCAGCCCTCTCTCTACAGCTATGAGAGCAAGAAGTAAAAATCTTTCACAGAAAAGTACTTGAGACTAGAGAATGGGATTGTTTGCATACAGAGCTTGTTTTTCTTTTGAACTGGCTGTATTCTGAAGTGATTTAAGATATGCCTGCTTCCCTTAAAAAGTTCCTGCTTACATCAGATTTCAGTAAAGCCTTGAGATGATTAAGAAAGGGATACCACACTGACTATTGGCTGGTTTCATGATTGCTTATAAATAAGCCCAAAAGAGACAAGAGAAGTCAGAACTAAAATAAACGCTGCAGATGAACACCACGAGAGTATACATTTCATAAAGACTTACACAAGAAGACTTTCCAGCCCCAAATATCTGCTATCTCTGAACTCAGGAGCAGGATCAGTGAGAAACACTTTGGCCAGGACCATGCCTTCATTATTTTCTCAGCTCTTTGGCAATAGCACCATTCTTACCACTTCTATTACCATTACTGCCACAACTACAAGAGGAAAACACTTGGGAGGGCAGGACAGGTGAGAGAAGCAAGGCTTTCAGCTCGAGGGAATCTCTCAGCAAAATCAGAAGGGAGGTACTTGCTAATAGGTCTTTGGCAAGCTGTGTGAACCCTGCCTACCAGAAAACCTCAAGGAGGCACCTGGAAAGGGTCCCAGACATGGAATTCAGCATTCCTTCAGCACTTCAGTAAGATGCTACTTTCTATTGCAGCATGCAGTAGACAGAGAAAAAGGAGATGCAGTGGGGGGCAGAAATAGTCTCTAGAATCACTTATCAGTCAGAAAAAATGTGGTCATATCACATAGCAGAGGAACAACACCGAGGGAGGCCAGAGCAGCTGGTTATCAGAATCATCTTCACCTACTTAACCCAAAGTACTCTTGCTAGAGCTATGTGACATAAAACATGGGCTGCCTGTGCCATCATGTTTTACAAAACTGTTTTTATAACACTTCTATGGAAGCAGCATCATTTTTTTAAGCAGAGGTGCTGATACTATGTATAACATTCAGTAAATAGATATGAGGCACACAGAGACCCTATAAAGGTCTACTAATGTACATGCCTAGATGCAAACACAAATTAGTCCAGCCTGCAAGTATCAATGAATGCTTTTGAAACTGAAATTCTTAATTACACTCAAGGCTATGCTTTTTTCATCTACTTTTCACCACAACCAAATCTGCAAGAATCTTAATAAATAAATGGCCAACTTAATCCTGCTCTTTTAATCCTTTCCTCTAAATATGTATTTTTTGGGGGGCTTAAAGAGGCATTAAGCCAAGCTGAGATACCTAAAAAAGCCTCTTTCAATTTCTTTGGAAAACCTGGGTATCACTGCTAAAATACATATGATTGTTAGATATCCCAAAGTACACAGGATGGGGGTTTTAAGAATTCCACTAGCATGCAGACAATCTTCTAATTAATTATGTCTAAAATAATAATGCAAGTTAAGAACACTAACTCATTCCTATTCACTTGTCAGCTATAGTTTAAGGTATGTTTTTACAGGTATCACTTCAAGTTACACAACCTTCCCTTTTGTAATAGTTACTTTCATGTGAAAGGTGTGCAGTAGTATCAGGATGTTAATCATTATCTGGATTCACTTTCTCACAAATGTTGAAGAATTACATTGCTTTATAGCCAATTGTTTTTATATGATAAAAATCCGTGTGCATTTTGAAAGAAGACATCTTTCTACATTTTTCCAGAATAACCAACTTGCAAGAAAGCATTTCAGTAAACTAAAGCCAAAAGACATCTAATGAAAGCAGTAAGAATGCTCCAAGTTAAATCACTCCATTACTTTGACAGTACTGCTGTAAATAGCTTCTAGAAAATCTGGAAGCTATGAAGTCCAAATCTCAAGCAGTCAGATGAAAATTAAAATGCATCTCTAAAAACAACAAAAAATCTTTGAGTGGTGGAAACGTTTTTCAAGAAGAGAAAGCAATGAAGTTCCATGACAAAACCCACAAAGAATAGGTATAAATAACTTTTTTAAGTGCTCTAGTTTGGCATGTCAGAATAGTATGGCATTTCTTGGATACTCAAACGAGTCAGACTTTCTCTGAGAGGCAACACTCTTCACCTTCCAAAAACAAAGTCAGACTCATTGTGTTTTACTATCCCCCTTCAGGATCAGGTTTGGAAAGCAAAATCACACCTCTGATTGGGGATTTCAAGGTTTGTGTGGCTGGATGGGTTTGTTCAACCACAATCCCAAAGAGACAATGTATTTTTAATACAATAGAAAAACTTTTAATTCATTCCATACTATCTACTGATCTATCTTCTGACTACTAAAACAAATTCACATTATGAGAACATGAGAGTTTTGGAAGTGGTAGATTTTCAGTATTTTTGCATTGGTGCACGTTTACACTCCAGTATAATCTACCACATTTATGAAACCAGATCCACCCAAAACTAAGCACTACAAAAACAATTAGGAAAAAAGTCAAAATTGAAGCAGCAATGTGATATTATTTTAAGCTTCATTAACCCTCTCCATATGACAATTCCTTGGATTTATTAATGTAATGCGCAAAACACAGAGCCTGTGTAGACCAGGAAATTAACTGCTCCTAAAGGCAGCCATGAGATCATCACTCTCCTCTTACACATTTTGGGAATGGCTAGAGAGAAACTGAGGGCAACAGAACAGCAATCGGGAGAAGAAAAGCACTGTGTACATTTTGTGAGACTTCAGCAGGCCTGAAGGCTCTTAAGGTGTTTCAGCACACGAGTGGGCTTTACCCTGGATCTCCAGGTCTGTGTCTGAGCCAGACACAGCTGCTGGGTATGCACAGTAGCAGCTCCCAGAGCAGTTCCAGGAGAAGGTGCTGACCACAGATGCTGAAAATTCAGCCACATCTGAAGAGGAGCAGTTCTATAGCAAGTTCTTGACATCCCTCTGCTTTCAGTTTCTGCTCTCCCCCTTCAAAACCTCAAGATAATTCCTCTTTCAGAAGCACTCAGCTCATGAAAGTTTGAAAGTGCTTTGATGGGCATGTGTTTCAACTTCTTTTTGCCTCCTCTGCAGGAGTAAGCAGGGATTTCTCCAGTAAAGGGCGACCGACTGTATGAGAATCTACTTCTGTCTGCCTCCAGATTTCCTCTCCACCTTGCTCAGGTGCTGTATTCTTTGGCAGAGGGCCTTAATACTCTTCCCCTTTTCTGCCTGTAGATTTGTCTTTCAGGCTACAGCAACTGCCTACCCTGACAGCAGCAGCAACTGAGTGAAGAATGAATGAAGAAAAGGTGCAGTGCAGATCTGCAATTCAGTGTGGTTAGAAACCAATGGGACACTGTGCACCTTGGGTGTTTAGATGTCTGCTGTTTCAGCTGATGCACCACTTTTTTCAAAGGCAGCAAGAGGGACCACGCTTCCCTTCAGCTCAGACAACACTTTCTACATGAGTAACATACCATTCTAACTTGAATTCTTTGTTTTCAGAAAAGAAACTACTGGAAAGCATTTTTGGTTTTGTTGCCGTTTTTCTTTCTTGTTTTTTTTTACATGTCATTCAATCTCTCATGAAATCAAGACTGTTATCTGGATGACACAGAACTATACACTGCTGAGTTATTACAACAATGACTTAACACCATCTAAAAAAAAATAGCTGTACAACAACTTTCCAGACATCAAGTTTCTTATATCAGAGATGACAGACACTGATTGTGCAAATACCAAACCTCATTCATTGTCAAGGGAAAAAAAGTTTCAAGTTAATCAGCTGCAGATTACATTCTCCTGGTTTTCTTCAGATAATGACAATATTCATTAACATCGTTTTTATTCTCAACAAAATTCTAAAGCTACCAGAAAACCAAAACAATCAGGAAAGGGGAAGGGTGAAGACTACAGTAGTCATTAACATACACTTTTGTGCACTATAGAAAATAACATCTCTAGCTTCTATTTTTACCTTAACAGGAAAGTGGGAGACAAAAAAGTTTACTAGAATACATCCTAAAACCTAAGTAAATCATACCCAACCATCCACCATAAATTTTGATCATTTTAATGAGAAGTCATGTGAATTTCTGTAATCAATGAATACAGCAGAAAATACCTCTAGGGGGTTTTTTACAGCAGATAACCCAGTAGTGCTATAAAACTCATTGTACAGAGTTTACCATAACAATTAACAAAGTCTTAATCAGCAGTTCAACTCTGCCCAGCTACTGAATGCACCCATCTACTTTAAGATAGAGATTCTTGGAAGAAAAATAGTAGAAATTAAATATGAAAACTACACATTTCTTACAGGACTTGTGTTTTATTTTGAGTACATGTAGAATACCTATTATGGAGAAATACCAAACTATGGAGAATCAGTATTTTTAAGTAGATGGTGCAGAGAGAAGATTTAGTCCTTTATAAACTCATCAAATAAATGCACTAGGGTTTGCACGGGGATCCTTTTGGTTCCTGTATCTGTAAGTCAGCCAAACTCCCAGAATCTGAAAATAAAAAACGAAGATATTATTAAGCAGAGAGTTTCCATCTCATCTTCTAGTTTTACAAAATTTGTTTTAAACATAAAATCGTGACAAAGAATTTTCAGTGTAGGATACAAGTTTAGGATATTTTACTGTTGCTAAAATTGTACAACCACACTCCATCTTTCTTAATTAGAAAAAAGAATGCATCCTCTCTCTCTAAGAAAAATCATACCCTAGCAAGAGAGAGAAAAACAAAACAAAACCCACGAAACTATGAACAACAAAAGCCAAATTCATATTCACAATGCAATAAAAAATTTCCCATTGTTTTTATAACATAAGTTAAATTATTCTTCCCCCTTCCCAAATCATAAATACTCATAAAGCTGCTTTTAATATAATGATAAAAAAACCCTCTGAACTGTTTCATTTTACCATTACCACTTAACTATACAGCTATTCTTGTGCATTTTCAAATCTTGTCATTCCCCCCAGCACCTTCACATTTTTAGCCGAGATGGCTGAGATCAGTGTGATACTGTTCAAGTTGCTGTATCTCTCTTCTTGTTGTCTTATTCACCAACCTTCTCAAAAGTGCACTAAGCAGCAAGAAGAGCATTTTCACATGCTCTTCTCTGGGATTAGAAAAGGCCTACTCTGAGGATTTTTATGCTCCAATCAATAAAGCAAATTATGCATCATCATGGTACTACAGCAAAGAGCCAAAAGACCTTCTTAATTTTAACATACTGGTTAAAATACAGTTCACTCTTTTGCAACTCTATCTTTGCTCTACAGGTGGCACCAAAAAAAAGTCCTCAAAGACCTAATGAGTGCTAGAGTGGGGAATAGATGGGAAGAAAAGGGAACAAGGTAAAACAACAGCACTCTTTTAATACTGATGGAGAATGGTAGACTTGAACAGCCAAGTTTCTGAAAAGCTTGAACTTTACAGCACCACATTTTAATGCTGAGGTTTGTTGTCTAAATAACAAAGCTGCAAGAAAAGCCTTCCTTCTGACAGACACAGGTCTGTCATCAAGGCCTAGCTTTGAAAAATTGGGCCTAATTAATTATCTGATTCCTGAGACTGCACCGAGGTTTCCTGTAATAAACCCCCTAAAAATGTGTTTCACAAAGCAAAGCATTAAAACTGGGGGAAAAGCACTCAATTTTCCAACCACTCACTCACCTCTGTGAAGCTGAAGAAGAGTCCTATTCCACCAACATATCTCAGCACCATTCCAGCATATTCTTCCATTATTGGTGCACATGGTCTACAGTGGAGATTTCTAAGACAATCCTGCAACAGATACAGAGAATTGCTTTCCATTTGCTGATGACACTTTGTTGTTTGAAAGCATCTAGTTTGTTCTAGAAGAGACTGCTACCCATGGACAAAATTACAGCAGTTTTAAAAGACTTCAAGAGCTCAAGTGTATAAATAAATGACAGTGGAGTACAAACTTTGCAGGGTGCCCTGAAACTGTCTTTCCAGTAAGTTAAGAGCTTAGTGTCACTGTAACAACTACATTACACACCTGTTAAAATGCTGCTTGCTGTAACTATGGAAACATTTTTGAACAAACACAGTGTGAATAAGTTATGGTTTTTCCCACTTGAAGAACTTACAGCGGCGCAGGTTTCATTGGGATAAAAAACTCTGAATCCACAACAATTCAGATTTCTCTCGATATCTGTTCTTGCGCTGTTGGTGTTACTCCATCCCACCTCTAGAAGTTCACTCTAGAAGCCATAAGCAAATACATATTACATTAATTTTTTAACTGTTTTACATTGCAAGCCCACATACAAAATCTAGTTGATAATGCCCTAACTAAAGCCTTCAGATCTTGATGCTTAACAGGAGAATATAAATATATTAAAAACAACTGGAGTGTCCAAAGAGGCTGTGTAGCTAAAGAAAGAACAGCACCTAAGAGCAGCACATTCATGGGTATAATTCCTTTCCTTCCTTTGTTTTTGCTAAACCCAACAAGATCACTAGTAAAGGGAAATGTGACTAATCTAGCTGGGACTGCCCAGGCTACACACAAAAAGCACCCTCACATGCAGAAACCTATTGTTTAGTCACTGTGCCCTTACCCACCTTTTATGCACTAAGAACTGGTCTCCATACCACATGGAAAACTCTTTTACTTTCACATGTAACTGCCTAATGTAGTTATGACTTTTCCAGTTACACACGAACAATTCAACCCTGATTACTGTATATTTCAGATAAGATTTCATCAGTTTATCTGAAATTGCTAAACACGAGATATAATCAAGACATCATGCTGCTACACCTGTGACAATAAACCTAGAAAGGAAGCTTAAAAACAAATTAAATTTTTTTTAAAAAGTAATTTTAGGACCCAAATGTATTCTTTTCTAGCTACCAGAGCCAAACACTGACCAAGGTCCACTCTTTAATAAACAGGACAATGCTGATTTTCTTAAAATATGCTCTCCCCATTTTATGGAGGACTACATACAAATACATGTGCCTGTGTACATAAATATTTTTAGTGTTATGCTATGGATTAACTGAGAAGGCAGGAAACTTTTCTTACCTGCTGTTCCTCATTTAGTGCCAAACAGGCACAGGAGACAGAAAACTGGACAATAAAGACTAGCAGAAGAATAATCATGTACTGGAAACAATCAATAGTTAAGGATACACTCCCAAATTAATTTTGCTTTTATAACATATGCACCTAATGGTATTCCTTATTTCACCGGGTAACAGTAAGTCCTCAAAAACAAAAGAACTGTGGATGCAAATTCTGACTCCATGTGGAAAAGATGACCTAAACAATGTTCCCAAAACCCAATCATCATGTATTATCTCTTTTGGCTACCACTATACATTGGTGGTATTTCCTTGTTAGGTGTTTCTTGCCCAGCAAGAAAACTTGAGCAGAGAGGTCAATAAAAGGAGCTTGAGAGCAAGATCGCCAGCCATCTGCTCCAGCTTTAGGGACTCATGTAATTTCATTATACTTCACTTAAATAAAGCAGTAGAGAAGATATTTGGGGGAGTATTGCATATTCAGGTTGCTTTTTTTTCAATGACAAAGTCCTGTAATTAATTACCAAAAAAAACTTTAGTGTAGATTAAAAACAAAAAAAGATAAGAGTTGCTCTTGGAACACAGCCTCACACAATTTTGGACTACTGCATCTGAAGATGGTATAAAACAAAAAGAATAAACTTTGACACAAAAGATCATGTTTTGAAAGTCAGGGAGTACTTTCAAAATGTGGCTGCTGTTTTCAGAGGCACATACTTCACACAATTGAGCTGTTTGTAAAGTGGAGGTCAGTTCTTATTCACAGACCACTAAAGTTAAACATTAATAGTTCACCTACTTTAGCCCCATGTAGGGCTGAGCACCCAATAAGAGGCACCTGTGACACAGTGAGCTACCATAAGCAGCTCTCAAAGAATTAAAAGAGCCTTATTTATAAAAAGAGATGTGAATACTTCTATCTTCAGAGCACAAACAATAGAACGGAAAAAAAGGAAACTAAAATAAAGTTAAATGGGAAGGAAGTCTAATTTAGACTGCAAAAGCAGTCCAAAGCAAGATTGTGAATTTCTGTTCTGTTTCTGAAGCCCCTCCCCCAGCAGTCTCAGCTGACACAGGACGTTGTTTACACAGCTCGAACCACGCTGTCATCAAACACCGCAGTGCATCAGAAGGATACAAAGAATAGCAATACTTGATGATGTTTCACTGCACCGATCAATCCAACTAAGGCAATAAAGAAGAGGAAGACTCCTACTGCGATTACCACTCCAACGACTCTGAAACTAGAGATGAGGCCAAAGCCAATTCCCCATGCTGCAATTCCAATCAGCAGCAGGCTCACCAGCTGGAGGGAAGAGAAAACACAAAGTTAGACTGCATATAAAAATAGGCTCCCACACACAGGTAATTTTTTTGCATTTAAGTTGTTTTTAAAAAGGTACAATTTTTCTTGCTAGTGCAAAGAGAGGAAACACAACCCTAAACAAACCAATCCTCCACATAATTGTATAAGTAATTTCAGTTCCAGATGTTTTAAGGCATTCATATTCTTCCACACTGTCAATGTGGAACTGTTACAACTCAAATCACCTGTAAGTCAAGCCATGTTGTACTATCAGTGACTGACTAGAGACACTAAACTGTAGATCATAATATAACTGACAAATAAGCTAAAAATCATCAGCTTTAATTCAGAAGCAAAATTTCGGATCTTTTGTTGAACTGTGGCAGTATATTTAAAGAAAATAGAATATACAGCTATACAGCTCTGAATGTGTAAAAAAGGGCACTTTGCCAAAACTTACTCTAATCAGCTGTATTAATTCATTAAAGAAGTTTCTACATACTTGATAATGTAACACAATAGTTAACATGGTCACAAAAAACACATTTCAGATCTGAATTGCAAGGACTTTATACAGTACTAAAACAATAAAGGTATCCTGTCTCCTCGACATATTTTTTCAAGAAAATAGCTCTACTAATAAGTGAATCCTATTTTAATACCCAAAACACTTATGCTGTTTCCTTCCTTTTAAACATGGTATTCAGGGAAGGAAGGTAGGAATCTGTCCCAGTTACTTCACCGAGATTTATTGTTTATATGGGCAGGAAGCTCCAGCCTTTCCTGTTTCCACACCAAAAAAACACAACCCCAAGAAAAAAGAAATTCCAACATGAAAAGCTGCAGGGAAATCTGCAATGAAGTCCAGCAGGAGGGAAGCAGCAGACAAAGCCAATCCAGATGTGCAAGGCACAAGATGCCCAAGACTCTCTGGTTTGAAACAGACCTATGTGTAATATTGCTCATTACATTCTCTGTTAAATGACATTAATTCAACATGCAAGTTTTAACTTTCCAAAACTCTGATCTCACAAAAAAATACTCAGCTTTATAGCTATTAAAAAAAAATCCAAACCAACAATATAAAAGAGTAGGCACTTAGTCTAGTTCAACTACTTGGCTTCGCTTAACAAAAGGTATAGAACAAGCACTTACACTTGCTCACCATTTCCATTCAAACAGGGCACATTCTCATAAAGCACATTTTACTGCTTACCCAGAGGCAGGAAGAATTTAAAAAAAAAAAAAAGGTAATTTGATAATTTCCAACTTATCACTTTAGTACACTTACCCTACATCTGGGAATTCTTGTTGGTATTAATGCCAAATACATCTGTATATTTCTTCCATTTAAGTACATTTTAGAGAACTACCTAAGTAATGCAGCTTTTGAAACATGGAAATCTAAGATAACATCAAGAAAGCTACTAAAACAACTAGAGATGCTCATCAAGATCTAAACACAGCAGGTGGAATTTTTTTTGTGTTCACACAGGAATATATCTCAAAAAACTTTTTACCAAAAGCCAGTAATCCATACAAAAAATTCAAGAGCCTGCAAGAACAAAAGCAGGGTATTTGTCATACCTACACTTCTCTCTTAACACATAAAGATAAAAAAGCCAATATAAAATTCAAAGGAATTGTTCAGTACCAGCAGAGTTTAGCATGATTTCACATTTGTCTTTGTTTCTCTTAAACAAAAAGCCTAAATTACCACATTTATTTAAAACCAAAATAACAGGCCAAGGTGTCATGAATCAAAATTACAGAGAGGACTGAAGAAAAAACTAAAATAAAACACCTTGGCTCTTACACAGACAAATTTTCTGAATCCATGCTGCACAAGGCTATAAATTTCCTGATACCAGTATATTAAAAATTAGCCTGGCCAATCAAACAGTTTATTGCAAGACCTACCTTTTCTGATCTATGGCCACTTACTTTTTTCACTGTCTCATTCCACTGGAAAGACTGATTCTTCCATGTAAGTACCAGAAGCAAGTAACTAAAGAAACCCCACAACCCAATTTCCAATCAAAAAGTGCTGTCTGACATCCCATGCTCTGCATCAGCTCCTCAATACTGAACTCACACTTCCACTACATAGGTCTTTAAAAAACAAATCTCACAAGCAATGACAAAGCTCATTTCACAAAGAAGAGCAGATAAAACTTTGTTTCTAATAGTTTTCACTGATACTTTTCTGTCTGACCTTTCACCAATCTGCCTCCAGGATACCAAAATACGTGTTTGCTCAGCTCTTTGCTCAGTTCATAACAGGTCCAAAAGCATTAGATGAAATTAGTTCATTCTTAAAATACTGAAATCAAAACAAGAGACAAAATCTGTGTCTCTAAGACCTCCTGGATAAACACAGTCTGTGAAGTGCAGGGTACCAGTTGCTTCTTGATGCCATTACTGATCTCATCTTACATTAATCTGATGATGCATGCATAAAATTATCTGCATGACACCAGAACTGTCCTGACACCCTGGCACAAAAAGCTTTTCTGGTAGAAACAGCCACATTTTGAATCTAGAAAAGGTCTGGTTTTCGATCAAGTGAGGAAAAGAAGTCTCTCTGAATTTTAAACCCATTATTGAGCTCAAGTTTTAGAGCTATCAATCTCATTTTTAACTGTTACCTCCATAATACCAAGGCTCTATTTTCCTTGACAAAGTTAGGAATTGTCCAATTCCTTAAAACATCTGGAAATTCAGTGTGATCACAGATCCATGCTACTGGGCTCTGGCTGACAAACTATAAGAAAATGCTGCATCCAGGCAGGCAGATCAATGATTTTGATCCACATCAAAATCTGATGTGGATCAAAATCATTACTGGCCACTCCTTTCTTGCCACTTGAAATTGTGGAAAATTGACTGTTTCAAAACTGAAATGGAGACTACAGATTTACTAATCACTCCAGAAACTGATTTAGTATTAAGTTTCTGTCTCCTCCACATGTTTACTGAAAGATGAAATTGTGGTTGTTCCTTCATATTCAGGTTTGGCACAGACCATCTGAATGAGAGGAATAACTTTCTCTATGTAGTTTTATAGCGCCATAATGTAAAAAACTACAGTAAAAGCACACTATTACAAAAAGGAAAAATAGCTGTTTTGAAAAGAGTTTTTTAAAGTCTGTAAAACAATGCAAGGCCCATAGTGCTACATACTGTTTAGCCACTAGAAATAACCACTCAACAGTGATTATTCCAGTATTTTGAGATGAAAGGATTTAAATGCAATATATCTAAAATTGAAGCTGCTATGGCTTTATAGTACAATGTACTTGAAACAAAATCAGTGGCCCTAACCACTTCAAATGAGTAACACATACATTCTAAACCAACAAGCTTTACCTACATGCAAAAAGGCCAAGTATTTCTGTTCAATGAAGGAGGAAGGACTCTCTATAGAGCTTCTGAATGTCACATTATATTTAACTGAGACCACATTTCACAGCAGCAGAAGCCTCCCAAAGTAAACAGTACCATCCTTGGAAGACTAAATTATCTGTGAAACGTCATTTTACCTATATGAATTTATTTAGACAAAGCTAGCTTTGGTTAGTAACACTTAAAATATCTGCTTGATGTATTTACCAGAAATATCTGAAATCACAGACCAGTTTTTAGTGATTAGGGCTAATCCAATTGCCCACAGGAAGGCTGGAGAAATGACTTGCTAGGACTGAACAGCCACAGGCCAGAGTGCTGAACTTGAAGAGCAGCAACTGATGGCCCAGCATGCTGCTGGCAGCAGGTAAGCACCACCGCAAAGGCTGGAGCCAATATCACACACTATCTTCATCAACAACCTGAATATAACACAAAATTAATTTTCAGAGAACATGTGGATGATACTAAACAAGGAGGAGTGGCTGACTCTCCAAAAAGAGATTTAACTCAGATATACCCTGAAAAACGTGAGGAATAAGCCAACCACAGAAACCTTACAAAGTAAAAAATTGTGCTCCTGGGTGCTCCAGTGGAGCCTGGGATCAGACCAGTTGAACAGCCTTAATGAGACAGATCTGGAGATCAGATTGTTTGTCAGGTTGAACACAAGCCAGGAGTCAGCTCTCACTGCAAACAGGGAAACCAAGAAGAGTGCAATCAAAGGAAACACAATGCTGGTGAGACTGTAGCTCAAATACTGTGTTCTATTTCAAGTCCCCCAGGCAGAAAAGGAATTTGAGAACCTGGCAGGAGTCAGTAAAATAGCATGGAGCCTTGCTAATGAGAGGTGTGAGAAGAGGGGATGGAGCTGGGTTTCTTTAGTATGACAGAGGCTGCCTGGGCTAACCACATACTAACTAAAGCTGAAGGCACATCACATAAACATGGAAACAAACTCTTCTGGGTATCGTAAGTAACAGCTTGGGAGGTTCACCGGACATGAGAAAACACACCTGCAAGGTGGTTTGGGGATCATCTTTGTTCTCAGGTGTGTCCAAGACTCCACAGGCTAAGCCACAGACAGTATACTGTTACTCATAATCCTGATCAGGGGCCTGGACTGATGAGCCCCAAAAATGCCTTCCAACCAACACTGCCACACACCACAGCCAGCACTTTGACCATGCCACTCTCTCCAAACCAAAAACCAAAGTTTTAACAGATAGATAAGAGGTGGATTCAGCACTGACCAAGGACTATCTTCTCTACCAGTTCAAACCCTAGCTACCTTACTTAAAGGCACACACACAAATATAGGCTTAGCACAATTCAATATATAAACTAGTAATTCTGAAATTTAAGTAAATGCTTTACCAGAACAAACCTTTAGGTAGCACAAATTCTAGGTGAAGATCAGTGGTTTTCCCTATGAGATTAGAGTATTTCTACTTTGGAGTAAAACAAATAGAAAAAAAATTCAAGCATATTGTCAGTAGACAAAACATTAGTCCAACGTCAGTATCTGTATAGGGAAAACTTTAGGGAGGACTGAAGTTCAAGATCAGTGGAAGAGATCAGACTCCAGTTTAGGC